GGATACACAAGATTTAAAGAGAAAGGAATCTACCAGTAAAGAAAATCACGAAGTCACAAAGGAAGAGAGCATAAGAAGAGAAAAGGAAGAAAAGAATTTCAAAACAACCAGGAAACAATATGGTAATAAGCCCATACCTATCAATTATTATTTTTCTAAATATAAATTACTAAATTCTCCAGTAAAAAGATGAAGTGGATGAATGGAAAAATAAAAGAAAGACACAATTAAAGCTGAAATGTTTCTTTTGTACTCATCATATAAGGACACACATAGACTGCAAGTGAAGGGATGGAAAAAATATTCCATGCAAATGGAAACCAAAAAAAAAAAAGGCAGGGTAGCTATAGTGATACAAAATAAATTGAAAGACCAAACTTTAATTAAACAGACAAAGAAGGTCATTATATAATAAAGGGGTGAATCCAATAAGCAAGTGTAACATTTGTAATTATTCACCCAGTATAGCAGCTAAATAAGTAAATCATATATTAACATAGCTAAAGGAAGAAATAGACAGCAATACAATAGTAGTAAGGGACTGCAATTCCCAATTTTCATCAGTCAGCCAATCAGTACAGAAAAAATGTAATAAAATGACAGACCCCATAGACATAACAGACATTAACAACATTCCATCCAGAAACATCATAATACACATTATTTTCAGGTACACAGGGAACATTCTCCAGAATAGGGCCTATATTAAGCTACAAAAGAAGTCATAAATTTAAGATTGGACTCATGTAACACATCTTTACAAACCACAATTGCATAAAACTAGAAGCTGATTACATGAAGAAAACTGGAAAATTTACAATTTGTGGAGAACAAACAATGCTACTAAACAACCATGAGTCAATGAAAAATTCAAAAGAAATTTTAAAAATCTTGAGATAAATGAAAATGGAAATACAATATACCACATCTATGGAAGCAGCAAAGAAGTTCTAAGAGGCAAGTTCATAGTGATAAATACTGAGTATTAAAAATAAATTAAGTTCTTTAAAGAAAAATTTCAAATAACTTAAATTTATTCCTCAAGGATTTTGAAACAGAACAAATTAAGCCCAATGTTAGTAGAAGGAAGGAAATAACAGGTCATAAAGAAAGACTGAAGAATGAAAGATCAATGAAACTCACAGTCATTATTTGAGAATTTATACAAAAATAGTCAAACTTTTAGCTAGATTTACAAGAAAAAAGTGAGAGGACAAATAAAATTAGAAATGAAAGATGTTAAAATTGATATCACAGAAATATCATGAGACTATGAACAATTAAAGCCAACAAATTGAGCAACCTAGAAGAAATGGATAAATATCTAGAAATGTAAAACCTATCAAAAAACAGATAATCTGTACAGACCAAAAACTGATTTAATCTTTTTACTAGTTATCAAAACCTCCCAACAAACAAAAGTTTAGGACCAGATGACTTCACTAGTAAATTCTACCAAACATTCAAAGAGGTTTTAATAACCAATCCTCATACTTCAAAAAATAAAAGAGGAAACACTTACAAACTCATTTTATGAGTCCAGCATACACCATGATACCAAAAGCAGAGGACACGAAAAAAATATTACATGCCAGTATTTCTGCTGAACATAGATGTAAAAATTCTTAACAAAATATTAGCAAACCAATTCAATAATACATAAGAGGATCATGTCCTCTGATTAACTGGAATTTATTCCAGAGATTCAAATATGATTCAACATCTATAATCAATCAATATATGGTACACATTAGCAAAATTAATTTAAAAAAGATCTCAACAGATGGCAGAAAAAGCAGCTGCTTGATTTAACATTCATTTGGATTAAAAACTCAACAAAGTTAATGTAGAATCTACATGCCTCAACATACTAAAAGCTGTACATAACGTCATACTCAATGGCAAAAAGGGAAAACATTTTCCTCAGAAACTAGACAAGGAGGCTCACCCACTCTTACCGTTATGCAACAAAGTACTGAAGTCCTAGGCAGAGCCATTAGGTAACAAAAAGAAAGAAAAGGCATTCAAACTGGAAAAGAAGAATTGAAACTATATTTTCAGATGACATATTATACATAGAAAACATTACAAAATCCAACAAAAATTTATTAGAATAAGCAAATTCAGTAAAAATCAAGATACAAAATCAATATATGAAAATCAGTTGCATTTCTATATACTAGCCAACATAAAAAGATACTCAGCATCACTAATCATAATGAACTACAGAGCAAAACTATAATGAGATACAATCTTCCACTTGTTAACAATGGCTATTGTTAAAAAGATGAAATAATAAATGCTAGCCAGAATGTGGAGAAAATGAAAGTCTCTTGTATTGTGGTGGGTACATAAATTGGTGCAGTCACTATGCAAAACAGTATGAAGTTTCCCCAAAATGCTAAAATAGAGCTACCATTTGATCTAACAAGTCGTCTTCTCTGTATTTGAAGAAATAAAAAACAGTGACTCAAAAAGATAAGTGCATCCCTAAGTTCACTGCAGCATCACTTATAATAGCCAAGATATGAAGCCACCTTAATGCCCATCAGTGAATGGATAAAAAAGGTTCTGCATACACTGGAATAGCATACACTGGAATACTACTTAGACAAAAAGTATTAAATCTCTACATTTGCAACATGGATGATCCTTGAGGACATTAAGCTAAGACAGAAACACAATATGATCTTACTTATATGTGAATCTAAAAAAAGAAAAGCAAAAAAACAGCACATAGACATGAAGAACATTGTTGTTTTGCCAGAAGCAGGGGGTAAGATGGGGACAAGAAGGGTGAAGGGGGTCAATGAATAAGCAATAGAGATGTAAAATACAGCGCGTCAATTGTAATTAATAACACTATTTGAACATTGCCAACAGTAGGCCTTAAAAGTTCTCATCCCAAGGATAAAACATTTCTGTTATTAGCATATGCAATGGTTATTTCACAGTATGTACAAATACGAAATCATTATTTGTGCACCTGAAACTAATGTAATATTTTATATTTTATTATGTCACAAAATACCTTCATAAGTAGACATTTTAAAGGGTGGGCAGAGGACCTGAAGAGACATTTTCCAAAGAAGACATGGCAAATGTCCAAGAGGTACATGAAATGTTGCTCGGTACCACTAATGATCAGGGAAATGCAAATCAGAACCACAATGAAATATCACTGCACACCTGTTAGAATGTCTATCACCAAAATATTCAAACTTATAAAGAGTAGAAGAGTGGTTGTTGGGCTGGTGGAAATAGAGGTTGGTAGACAGGTACAAACTTCATCTTAGTATGAATAAGGATTAATAAAACATAACTAGTTGATCACTGTAAAATTGAAATTTGCTCAAAGGTATGAATAAGGATTAATAAAACAACTAGTTGATCACACTGTAAAATTGAAATTTGCTCAAAGTATAATTCAAATATTCTCACACAAGGAAAAAATTATATATGTTAGGTGATGAACGTGTTCATTATCTTGGTGGGGGAATTCTTTCACAAGTATATCAAATACATTTTACCCTTTATCTTAAAATTTATAACTCAATAAAGCTGACATTTTTAAAAACTTCTCATATGAGAAAAAAGTCTTGGTTGTTAACAAATTTATGAAATTTAAAGCTCTTAAGATTATATCACCTAGTGAGAAAGTATAAGTAAAGGAAGGAACTAACCCGAGGACAAGTTTAACATGCAGAGAATGCGAGGAGAAGGTTGGGTGGGAGAGTAAGGCGAGCCAGACAAGTTGGGAGGAAAATCAGAAGATGTGTTTGACAGAGACAGATGAGAACACATTTCAGGGAGAGAACATTCTACTTTTTAAATGCTCTGTAACAGTCAAATAGTTCAAATAAAGAGTTGATCACTTCTTTATGATTAGATTTAGAAGATAGCTTTTGAAAAATATAATTTCCTGAATAGATTCTTTTTTCTCAGATTTCTCTTTACCAAACAAAAAAGAGTTCTGCTGCTTTGAAATACAATTCAAAAATTTTTTTATCTGGGTGGTAGGCACTGTATTATAAACCCTAGTGAGCAAAAATAGCCAATGTTCTATTCTCTGGGAGGTCAGAGTCTGTAAAATTCTGAATAGAAAATGTATTGATTTTCTTATTTACTTATATAACTTGTTTTGATAATTGCACAGTGAGCCTCGGATTAGTGAATTTTTAGAAGATGTTTAGGAAGATAATGTGATGAGGTTTCTCAGTGAAATTCAATGTATTAAAATGAAGGATATAGAAAATGTTACTGAATACAGAAACTAGGAATAAAACTAAGAATATTTTGCATTCATAGAAAAGCTAATGAGCCACCACTAGACAGTGGGGAATCCAAATGAGTATATTCATTGCTTAAAATATGGTTCTCTAAACAAAACAAAGCTTTCTTGCTAGCTTAGCTCTTTCTATTGGATGTATGTTTTCAGAGTGTCCTTTCTTTTATGGTTCAAACACATCATTCCTCATTTTATTTTAATTCTTGATGAAGGGCCAGATGCAACATGGATCTTTTAGATCTGGATCACCTTTAGAACTGGATATAAGGATTATGGAAAATATTTCGTTTCTCAATATTAATTTATTTTACTAGTCCAAAGCTTTGCCTTATTGATAATTGCTAAAATCATAGATTTTGGGATTATAAAACATACTATTACATTTTATTTTTATTTCTTGTATTTATAAATACATAGGAATATTTGATACTGTGAAAGTTTTTTATTTAGAAATGTGTGTTACTCAAAAACATTAAAATATTCATTTGTTTAATTATCAAAATTACAACTAAAAATTTAAAGCAGTCTTTAATTGGGAAGTTACTTTATCCACAATTGTTGAACAATCAAGTCTAAGACAATGTACTTTATTTGGATTCAAATTAAAGCAATTTATAAGGTGATTGCAGAAGTGGACTAAACATGGGATGCTCTGAAAGATATCTTATTAAGTACTTTTCAGGATTTCTCTTTCTCCTTTTCTTTGCAACAGGAGGATTATACCGACTGTGGTGGCGTTTCTGGACTAAATCCCTCTCTTTGGTCCATCATCGGAATCCAGTTTGTACTACTTTGGCTTTTATCTGGCAGCAGACACTGACAGTTATCACCTTCTAAAATCAAATCTGCATAATTAAAATTCCAGACCCTGCCAAAACATGAGCCCTCAGTTGCATTAAAATAGGGTCAGCCATGGAATCAGCAGTACAGTAGCTGGGCCCTCACCATGGCATAAATCTGAGGCGCAGGCTCATAAGGCACCCACTGGCTGCATGTCAGGGTGTCAGATCCTTTAACGTGTTAATGCTGCATCATCTACGTATAACATCAAAGCAAAACTCTACACATGCTCTGTGGGAAAGTCTGAGCTTGTTGCACTGTTGGTGATGACACGTAAAAGGGCTCCCCACACAGTTGTTGATGAATCATAAACATTGTCTTGACTTTGACCTGGAATTTTGACTTGCTGCAATCCTTGTTATTTTGCCCCAAGAAAGTCTCTTAAGGGAAAAAAGTTATTTTTACCTTCACTTATTCTCCTCTTAACATTATTTCCTGCTATGGGTGGTCCTTATTGAGAAAATGGAGAATAAACATTGATGTAATCTGTTGAAATAGAAATAATGGCTAATTCTCTACAAAAAAATTTGCCATGTATAAAATGCCTTATGAAGAATGGCTTCTCTGCCAAAAATATAACACTAATGATGACCAATTAAGTTTTGGTGGAGTAATAAATTGTTTGAAAAAAGTAAGAAGTTATTAAAAGGTGCTTGAGGGTGAACTTTGAATATACGAATATATTTCCTCAGAACTGTAAGCCCTTAATACATGCTTCAGTGAAATGTTCCTTTTGTTCACAGTAACGTTATGTAGTGCTAGCGGGATATTTAAAAATGCTCTAAGAAAAGCTTGTTGGGGGGAGGGGGAGTGTTTTCTTGTGATAAATGAACTTTGGTTACCAAGGGTATTTTGCATGATGCTGCTGCTATTTTAAATTTTGATTTGTTTTTCTCTTACTGTAGAGTGTAGTCCACTGAAAAGTTAACTGAGTGACATTATTGTTATGTAGGAATCGGAACCTTGCAGTGTAATGCACTTAAGTCATCTTTAAAAATGTTGTTAAACTACTCTGAATATACTGTGCAATGTAAATGCTGGATGATTGGGTCAGTAAATGGTGAAAGGGAAACTAATGAATTTTATACAGATTCGTGCTCTAGCTCGAAAACCTATGTACAGATATTTTAAGAACATAAATCAGATTTGACACATTTATTTTTTGAAAAGTACATGTTCTCGATGAAGGTTCACCCTAGGTTTCCTCTTTGTTCGTTTGAATAGTAGCACATATGCCCCCCAAAATCCCGCCACTTTGGCTTTCGTCCCTCCGTTTTAAATGGTCTGATCTATCACTTGACCAAAATTTCCTTGCAGTCTGATGAGGGTTCTACAGTAATCTAGACAAATAGGAAACCTTGAATCTGTGTGTTTGCACATTAATACTTGATTGTGTATAATCAAAATTGTTTTTATACAACCTCATTGGTGAAAATGATTTATGTAGTAAATCAGATATTACATTACATAGTAGTAGTGCAGAATATTATTTATGCTTTTAAAATTATTTTCAGGTGTAAACAGTATTTAAAGAAAGGGTACAAACAATGAATTTGTAACTAGTTACAGTAATTCTGCTGAAGGCTGGCAGTACGCATATATTTTTTATGGTAAAATGAATTTGCTCTTTTTCTGAACATGCCAATACTGGTATGTCTATATGCTGGAAATTTTCTTATAATTTTTAAGTCAAAATCTTATTAACATCCAGCATGCTTTAAATATTCCACATATCAAAGATATAACCAATTCTTTAGCATCATTTAAAAGATGTATTTGTTTTGTTTTTTTAGCTTTGCATACATTTTTAATTCCCTTCCACCACTAATATACCCTAGGTACCATTTGTGTACATTACTTATTTAAAATATTTTTTTATTTAAAAGTGGGGGGAGGGGAAATGGAATCACTTTGCCAACTATTCTGAGTTGACAATCAGTTACCATTTCTAATGCATTGCTGTGATTTTGTAGTCTCATTTGTAACTGGTTGACATTTTAGAAAACACCAAAGTGATTTAAAAAATACAGAATTTCTCACTCTAGTAACAATATGTTTAAATCATGTTGTTTGTTAATGAAATATTTAAAATTTATTGTTAACTTTGCTAGACTATTTTAAATCATGAAAGTGTTGGGAAGGGGATATCAAAGTATAAAATGTTAGTTTGTGTATATAAATGATGCATATTAAAACAACTGACTTGCTTCCAGCATACAACAAACTACCTTAAAATTATCCAAAAGATCTATTGATATATTTTCATGGCTAATATCACTGAAATAGTATGTTTTCATCAACTACATTATTGTTGTATTAATCACAGTTAAACTTGGCATCTCTTGGCAGGGTCCTATTTAATTCATTTGCCATCAAAATATATTTATATGCACGAGTCTTGCTATGATCCTTTATTTTCTGTTATAAGCTTATATGACAACCACGTACATGGTCATAAATTGGGTAAGAAAGTGCTAACTAAAAATTGATCTCATGCCTAATGCTAGTCTTCATGCTTTTGGCATGCTTTTTTTAAAGACAGTAACACTCATCCCATCCAATTGTTATAGTTATTTAGGATTTTTCTGTGAGTTCTAATTGTTGACAAGAACTTAAATTATAGCCTGTTATAAATAATTGAATTTCAAAGACTAAACAGTACAAGAGATCAAGAAAAAAGCTCTTAAAACTCTTTTCACTTACTTAATTTTTGCTGTACTCATGAAACTTGATGTAGTTTTGTCACTAAAACAAAATCAGATTAAGTCTTGCATTGGTGTTGAGTAATAGGAATTAATTTTGCATTACTGGTTTCTTTATATTTTCTTTGTTTGAACAACCAGCATTACTGCCAAACACCAGTCGTGGTCCATATTTGTAACAGGTTTTTAACATGACATAGTTAGCAAGTTTGATTGAAGAGATTTTTAGGTCCTGGGCCTATAAGATTTTAGTATGATCTTTTTTCATGTTTCTAATGCTTGAGGCGTTATTGCTTAACTTGGAAAAAATAAAACAGTGTTGCTGCCATTTGTAAGTTTTCCTATAATATTCCTTTTATTAACTTTAAAACTGGCCTTACTGGGTTCAAATAGGCAGTATCCCTTTTAAGTGACCTTTGCAACCCAAGTGTTACTTGCTTATTTGATGCTCTTGTCTTTTACATCTCATTTAAACCTTTCTCTCCACCAAAGCTTAAATTCTATGTCTTACTTTAAAACTCTGAACTATTCCATTAATCATGGTAGTTGACATTACAATGTTTAGAGATTAAAAGGTTTGACCTAGTGAAACAAAATGAATGTTGTGACTTTTTTTAACGTGTAGAATATAGTGGTTACTTCACTTGCCCACAATTTCAAATATCTAAATCTTGTGTTTTCTTCCCATAGCAGGATGCTAATATTCTGTGTACATTTCTGTAAAGAGTACATCAACAAAACAAAAGTATCAAGTATTGAAAATATTCCAGAATTTCAGAGGTAGACAATCCTTACTGATAGTTTCATCTCCCTTATTTCTAGCTCACATAGTTAACCCAAAGGAATTCCTGAGACTGATGGGATATACTGTCTTGAGTAGATGCCAGTTGAGTTTACAGTGTGACCTGACAAAGCTATCTTTTGTTGTGCTGTATGATTGCTGGATCATGCTTTTAGGGGTACTTTTATTGAAATGCTCTGTGTGCATCCATGCAAAAGGCCAAGTGGCTTTGTGAACAAAAATCTTTTCTCCCCTTTGTTATGTTCTCTTGACACTTTTGTGGAAATTAACTAGCCTGATAAAAACATTTTGTAAAAAATTTGTATAATACTGTTATAAAAAGATTTATAATCCCCAAAATGTTGTGTTAAATCTTGTGCAAAAACAGTATATTCAGAATAAAAGTTTATCATTTAAAGTCACCACAGTTTGGAATATTTATTTAAAACCCAGTTGAAAGAGTCGGAAGTCTTTGTCATAAGTTTATTTTTTAAAAAGCAGGCCTTTCTGTGGAGAGAATTCTAGGTTGTGGAAATAAAATTTGGGATTACAAAAGCAGTTTTACAAACCAGGTCACAAACAAGCAAGCGTACTTGCAACTCCTTCACACAACTGTGACCCTTCTTACATGTGCTTTTGCCAGCAAGGCATTTAGGAACTGATTAACTCAGATTGTGGGCTTCTTTTGTAAAAAAAAAAAAAAATTCCTAGACAAAAATGTTGTCATGTTTCTTTAAAGACATGGGGAAAGCAGTTTGAAAAAAACAAATGAGAATATCTGAAATGTGCATATCTTTTTTACATCTGAACAATATTTCAATGTTTCCCCCATTTATAGCAAACAGTAGATGAGGCAATGAAGTCTAGTGTACCGAGTTTAAAAAAAGAAATCTTATGTTCCTTTTACATTTATACCAGCTTACCACCTCTGCCCTCCTACTGATAAAGTAATGAGCCTGATATTGTGTAGAATCTAGTGTAATGTAACCCTCCTTTTCTTTCTGGGGACTCCTGTATAGAGAACAAAAATGCCTACGCACAAGAGGAATGTAGTATGCGAATACCAATCATGAAGATGACTGTAAAATCTGACTCATAGTTTATGATCGAAGAATTTTAACAGGAAAAAACCATACTTAAAACTGTAAGGTGGTTGTTTTTTGAACATCTGGCTTCATTCTGTACCAATTCATCTCAATCAATCCTCCAGCTCCCTTGAGACCTTCATTTCCTCTATCAGTCATCTTGATCCTATCCCACCTCTTCCCTTGGGGCCTTGCTTCACCAGTCCTCCTTTCTCAAACATACTCGGTCTCTCCTTGCTGCATGCTTATTTTCCTCTGCCTGCAAACACATTTCTTACACCTCTATTTAAAACAAGGAAAATCAACCATCCACTGCTGCCCATTAGCCCTATTATTTCCTATAGTTTATACACCTAAAATTAAAATATTCCTTTGTACAGTCAAAGACACATTGACAGTCTCTTCAATACACTCAACTAGGTCTCAGATTGTTATATCTAAAAGGTATAGAATATCTGACCTTTAGTTTTGGGCTACTACACAAAAGTTTTTAGTTACTGGTGTGAGGTCCAAATTAATTAACATTCTCGGGCATTTCTTGATTCTCATATTCTTTGTATTTTAAAGTGGAGTTATTCACAGAGCACTCATAGAATTTGCTATAAATTGGGACACAATCAACAATATTGTTTAATATTATTTACATGGACTCTTTTTAAAAAATGTATTTCAAAAAGAATTTAACATTACTGCTATAACTGGAAAACCAGTTGTTTAAAGGAGACCTATTAAGAAATTATTGTCAATGTGAGAAACTATTGTTGACTGGCATAGGAAACTAGATAGAAAAAAATAGACTTGTTTTAGAAATATTTAGAAGGAAAAAAGGGAAGAACTTCATGTTTCACTTGTACTGAAAGAAAGGACAAAGTAGAATTCCCAGGGTTCTGAAGTTTAAGGTGCTAGGGGCAAAGATGAGAGGCAGTTCAGAGGACAAAATGAAAGACTGCCTTCAAAAATATTGTGGATGAACTCTTGTACAATGCTCAGGATATAAAGATGAGAAGATATGGTTTCTGCTGCCTAAGAATATATATGCCATGATAGTGATTCTCAACACTGACTCATTTAGAAACCCTTATTGGAATTTTTGTTGTACTTTGTTTTGCTTTAAATACTGATACCCAGGACTCACTCTGATTAATTTAGAATCTCAGGTGTTCTGTGCAGCCAGCATTACACTTCCTGAGGGCATGCTAGACTACTGGTGTGACAATCCTTATGTAGGTTTTTTCTGAATTATGCTTTATTAACCCTATTTATTGGTTCAGTTTTCAACAAACCCTTTTGAACATGATTTTTGGAACATACCTTATGATTCCAACTCAATTGCAATCTTTTTGAAGGTTACTTTTTAATAATATACTTTTTTATTTGAATCCAGATAAGATAGCTAGCTAGCTGATAACAAAGTTTTCATTGGTTGTGATTGATGATCAGGACCAGTATTGGGACAACTTTTATGACAGGAGATTCTATTTCTATTTAAGTCATATTAATGTTATCAAATGTTTCATATAGTCGAAACATATTTCTGTAAATACTATCAGAGAATTTTGTCAATCAGGTTCATTCTTATGGCAAATGATACTGCAAGTCCAAATAAAATTAGGAAATGGTATTGACAATTTGGTTTCTATACATATTGTATTTAGTTAAATAATGGCTATTCCTTAATAAAATGAAAATCTAATAAAAAATTTAAAAACCCACTTAAAAGGCAGATATTTCAGATTGATTTTAGACAACTGGTCCAGCATAGTCTACAGAACCTCCAAGAAATCTTAGGCAAAAGAGACCATGTGTGATACATGGTAGAGATTCCAGGCTCTGCGGCCAGACTGCCTGGGTCCGCATCCCATCTCTCCAACTTGGGCATGTTATATAACATCTCTAACTTTCTATTCCTGTCTGTATGCATTATACTACTGACTCAGTATTTATATACAAAAACAATGATAATCACTAATACTTGCTCAGACTCTACTTAACTCACAAGCTCAATCATCTGATGCAGATGATTTCAGGAGTGCCTATAGAAATTTGGCATTGAGACGATTCCTAAAGTGTGAGGAATATTGCCAGTGGTTCATATTTTTCACTCTGCTGGGCACCAGGGACACAATGATGACAATGATAAGAAATACAAACAGCACATGCTGTAGGAGAGCAGAGGGAAAAAAGGAAAAAAAATATTCATCCAAAAAGTAATGTAAATAAACATATTATTGCTAACTCTAAGAAAAACATTTTGCAATAAAAGATCTTAGTAATAAGGAAGAGAAGATGAAGAGAACAAGGCCTCACAGAAACAAAAGTGGGTTTAGTGGCTGAGCTGTGAAGAATGTAGGTGGAAGATCCAAAATGTCCTGGATGTCTTAATCCAAATCTTGGAAACAATTCAACAGACAAATATCCCTGATGAATATAAATGCAAAAATTCCTAACAAAATATTAGCAAATTGAATTTAAGAACACATTAAAAACAATTATACACAAAGGGAGATTTATCTTTGGGATGCAAAGATACCTAGGGTGCAAACATACACAAACCAATAAATGTAATACATCACATTAATAGAATGAAAGATAACCACATGAACATCTCAATAGATGAAGAAAAAGCATTATAAAATATAACATCCTTTCATGATAGAAGCCTTTGATATTGTGTAAAGAAGGAACATACCTCAACAGAATAAAGGCGATAAACAACAAACCACAGCTAACATTACACTCAATGGGGAGCAAATTTAAGCTTTTCCTCTAAGGTCAGGAACAAGAGAAAGATACCCATTCTCTCCACTACTATTCAACATAATACTAGAAGTCCTACTTAGACAAATTAGGAAAAACCAAAACAGGTGTCCAAATCAGACCTTGCTGGAAAAAAACATATCAAAGAAGATAGAAACAAATGAAAAGGCATCCTGTTTCATGAATTTGAAGAATTAATACTGTTAAAGTGTCCATACTACCCAAAGCTATGTAGAGATTAAATGTGTTCTACATCAAAATACCAATGGTGTTCCTCACAGAATGACAGAAAAAGAAAATCCTAAAATTTGTATGGAACTACAAAGGACTGTGATAGCTAAAACAATCCAGAGGAAAAAGTATAAAGCTGGATGTATCACATTTCCTGGCTTCAGACTATAATACAAAGCTACAGTAACAAAAACAGTATGGCACTAAACACATAGACAAATGGAAATGAATAGAGAACTCAGAATTAACCTGCCACATGTTTGGTCAACTAATATTTGACACGGGATCCAAGAACACCCAATGTGAAAGGATAGTCTCTCTAACAAATGGTGTTGGGAAAACTGAAAAACCACATGCAGAACAATGAAATTGGACCACAATCATACCACTCACAAAATTTACCTGAAAATGGATCAAGACTAAAACATAAGACCTAGCTAAAAAAATTCCTTGAAGAAAACTTAGGGAAGATGTTCCTTGACATTGGATGTGGCAACAATTTTTTGGGATATGACACCAACGGCATGAACAACAAAAACAAAAATCAACAAATGGGACTACATCAAACTTAAAAACTTCTGCATAGCAAAAGAAACAACAAAATGAAAAGGCAACCTATTGAATAGGAGAAAATTTTTCAACTCAATTAAGGGTTTACTATTGAAAATACATAAAGAACTCATGCAACTCAGTAGCAAAAACAAAACAAAAACAATCTGATTTTAAAATGGGCAGAGAAAGACATTTTCCTGAAGAAGACAGCAGGTACATGAAAAAATTCTAAATATCACTAATCATCAAGTAAATGCAAATCAGAAGCCAATGAGTTATCACCTTTTATCTGTTAAAATGGCTATTGCCAAGAAGGAGGGAATAGCAATTGTTGGTGAAGATATGGAGAAAAAAGAATACTAGTGCACTATTGGGGAGAATGTAAATGGGTATGACCACTATAAAAACAATATGGAGGTGCCTCAACATAGTAAAAATATATCACATGATCCAGCAAGTCTACTTCTGGACATATAACCAAAGGAAATGAAAACAGGATATTGCAGAGAGATATGCACTCCCACATTTACTGCAGCATTATTCATAATAGCCAAATATATGGAAACAATCTAAGTACCCATCAGTGGATAAATAAAGAAGAGGTGTGTAACAGAATATTATTCAGACATGAGAAAGGAGGACATCCTGCCATTTGCAACAACATGGACAGATCTTGAGCACATTGTGTAACAAAGGTAAGTCAGAGAAAGAAAAGTACTGTGTGATATCACTTATATGTGGAATCTAAATGGCAGTTCTCAGAGATGGGGGACGGTGACATAAGACATACTTTTTAA